TATGTATTATAAAATATAATACCACAATCGCAAATTACGTTCGTGAGATTCAAAGACATGCTTACTATAATATTGACTAATCACGGAAATACGTGATATATATTTGTGCCATCTATATGTGTTTTCTATACTATACGCTTACATATTTTTCATGATATTTTGGGAATTTGTGTGAGGCATTACAAAGTGAGCACTCCATATATGGAAATAAGTAATGGGCGTTTCGTTGCCAGTGGGCATAATTAATTCTACCGGGTTATCTCCTCATAACTTATCCGCAGGAATCGCGGAGTCCTGATGTGAATAGATATGTGTTCAATAATAAATCGCACTTTTATATTTCAAGTCATTTATTGACATATTTACGAAAAAAAATATATGGCTAAGTAACCATGGTGATGTCTACATGATATATATGTAACACGAAACTATAACATTCTTTAAGAACAATAAGAATATATCAAAAAAGGTAAGTTATGAAAGTATTACTAAACGTTTGTGAGGACATTTTCATACAGGAGACTCAAATTACCGTGGCACAAGACCGTGTAGAGAATAGCAAAAATAATACTCTCAGATTTGATGTGTGTGTTGTGATGAGAACATGTGTCACGAAATGGCATCGAGAGTTGGTAGAACATTCCGAGTACTGATGAGGAGGCTAGATGATAATGACGATGATGATGATGAAGACCTGAAGATAGGTGATGGTTTAGGAGAAGCTCTGAAAAAGATAAAATAACATAGTTACGATGACGTTATTAGTTATTGTGTCCGATGTATATCGTAAGTAAAGCCAAAAGTTTGCATTGTGGTATTTCTTTAAGCTATTGGTTAATATATATAATAAAGTGTCATTTTCTTGTTTTTTCTTTCATTTTTTTCTGAAATTACAATCCCAGATTTCAGCACAGATTTCAAAGAATGTAATAGTACTGTTTGTTTCCGCAGTGCACTGTTTAGTATCAATAATTTCAGTTCAAACAGAATATTAAATTGAAATGCTCATGTCACACATGAAAAAACAAGAAACTATTTTGTTGTGAAAAAATACATTTTCCATGTTTATATAAGGTTTTGATGGTGACCGTTTTTTTTTTACCATAAATGGTAATTTTTTTTTACGTATTATTGGCAGATTAATAGTCTAATTACAGATTGAATTGAATGAGGGTAAGTTGCAGATATTCCGCGGTAATCCGCGACGGCCTATTCGGATAGAAATCTGAAGCATAACATTTTTTAAAAATGTTGTATTACATTAGATTTTGTTGCTCATACAGTCAGACTATTTCAGATAAAATTAATCTTTATCTGATCATCTGAACCGGCCTTTGGACAACAACCTTATAAAAGTAGAAATTAACCAATCAAAATACCAAATTATAAAAATATAAGCTCTAATGGGACTGCATCAAATGTTCACAATAGACTATGCTAGTGACTGATTTTCTTTGATGCTTTTGTTTCAAAATCGACAAAACATATCGTGATAGTTGTTTTGGTGAGATGTACCCCTATTTATACAGCGAAAAAGGAATTGCGAGAAAATATTAATTAAGATAATCATCAGTTATTTGACAGCTGACCCCATTCTGGATTTGCGTCGACTAAAGGAATTTATATTTCGACCTTCCTACTTATGTACTATATCATGTGTGTCAAAAGTCACCATTAAATACAGTATTATAAATAATTAGGTTAACAGAAATAATGAAAAAAACGTGACAGTAAATTGCAATATAATAAGATATATGTGTATAAATATTACACATTGTGACTGTATGTTCGTATATTTGGTAAATAAGTATATTTACGTATTAGTAACAAAAAACATGCAAATCCTGATCACACGCCGAACAAACTTGCATTAAAAACAATTATAAAAACGCATTACCTTAAAATATGTTAGTCATTCTCCCTTGTGCGCATACTAACAACTTAGACCTTAATTGGATAAAACGTACTACAGGGGGCGGTATATCAACATAAGAAATATTGTTGTTAGTTACAAAAAAGAAAACAACTATTTCGTGTTAATTAGCAAGACATAAAAAGAACACTAAAAAGGCACAACAAGCACATGATTTCTCCGACAAAGAAATTTTAATATAATCATTTGTGACAATAAACTACCCTTAAAAAAAGGACACTCATGCCATGCTACTTAATATTAAATAAAAAAGAAAACAGTTTTCTACAGTTACAGTTTCTACTAGAGATAAAAAAAACATGCATCAAAAGATGTTAGTTAAAATATCAGCCTCAAAAAGACGGAATATCGTGAAGGAAATGTAAAGTAAGTTTTTTGGTGTTCAGGTCTTGGGTCATAGAAGATATGACGAGTCATCGCTGAGAAGGATAATTCATTCCTGGGCATGATACAAAATTATAATATTGTTCTCTTATAATATTAGTTACTTGGAAATGTAAATTATGGTTTATGTCGATCACTTCACACTAATTTTTGCTTCTGTGCAAAGATCAGTCTTTGTTCACGCTGAGCATAATAAATCAAATTCAAATATACTCGGTTGGAAAATACATTCTCGTAATGTAGACAGCCGTTTAGTGTGTCAATGTGTATTTTTGTTTGTTTATTGTAAATGGTTAGTTATCAATGACATCGGCATCTCGCTTTCCTACAGGCATATGATACATTGTCTCCCAGTAGTTACCGGCAGGAATGCTCTGTCGATTACCCGACTGCCTTCTTGTACCGACCTGTCGCCTGCCGTTGTTCCTTTTAGCAAAATCTGATGATCTCCTTCCGAACATAAGACCTAATGTTCCTCTGCCGGGTGTTGCACGTTTGTTCGATACCATGTTGTAGCTCAGTTCATCGCAGCTGTCCTCAACTTTTCGGAGACGACTATATAATTTACAGTTGATGAAGTCCATCAGACCATTGATAAAGGTTTTATCTTCTTCAACATCTTCAATCTTGTCTTCATCAGCGAAAGTGTACCCTGTAAAACACGATTGATAAGAAGTGGAAAGCTAAAACATGTTTCAACATAGTTAATTGCAATCGATGAGTTTAATTTATTTTCACACTTTAATCAATACGATTGAGTTACTACCGGTAACACCTGAACGGAACGAAACGACGTAGTTAACACAAACGGTTACAGTGATTGTAAAGGAATAATATCAAAATTGCTTCCCGAGAAGTACGGCGTGATATTTACAATAGAATAGTGCATCAATGTAAAAAAAAAACATTATAAGTTTAAACATTTGCCATGCATATATTATTATTATTGCTACCACCCCTCCGTCATCATAGTCACATTGTATATTTTAGAGTGAACGCGATCGAGACGTCGAGGTCGAGTTCATTTTAAATGAGTTTCCTGAGCGGTGAGCTGTGTCATTCTTCTGAGGACATATACCCACTGGGCTATCACCTTCCGTGTTTACATATCCCCGGGGTGTCACCAGTAGGAATTTGCCATCAGTCGTGGGCCATCCAAGGGGTTAAATTATGCTTTATATTGGAACAAGGGTCGGAGTTACCATGATTTTGAACTAGTGTAAATGTCCTTGTGTTTTGTTAAGTTGTGTGTTGACAAGCTGCCGTACATAGAATGTGCAAACTGTTACATTTTGTTATCTCACACTAGAAACCTATAAATAATTTGGTATTGGACAAGGTCAACACTATCTTAAATTACATACTAAATCTCTCTAGATAAAACATAATTAATGATTTGTGGTTAAAACAGAAATTGTTGATAATATCAAAAGAAAACAAATAAACCAGGCACTACATTCTAATTGAATTATTCAGTGATCCAATAGTGTTTAACGCAAACGAAAAATGCAACCCTTGGATAAAATATTTTACTGTACGTGTATTATATATAAAAATGACAAAGAAAACTGTACATGTAAAACATATAATAAAGCTAGATATGATATATTGATGGTATATGAATTAGGCGATTAAGAAATGACGTATCACTAGCAAATAATCAAGCCTAGTGTATAAAACCTATTCTAGTATTTACAGAACAACATTATATTATGCCTAGTTCCAAACCAAAGTCAGAATCTATTGAACAATTTGAGCAAAGGGTGAATTTTTAAAAAATGCAGGTGCAAAATTTAATATGCACTTATGAAACAAAGTTATCTATGGTGACGTTTTAGGGGAGAAACATTTTACTCATATGTGCTTATAAATTACATCGATCGGTGATAATTGGCACTATTAAAAATGAATAAATAATACATAATTTATAGATACACAACAACAATAATAACAACAACAACAACAAAAACAGCAAATATTGCGTATCGGCGAATGCCAATTGTGTATACAGAACTAGGAACACGTTCATATCTGTAATTCAAATATAGTCTTAGACACCCCGCGTGTGTACCACAATATCCATTTACATTTAGTGAGAATTCTGCGTTATTAATGCTATACCAATGTGTGTGCACCGTGAAAACGCACTAGTTATTGTAATCCTAAAGACGCCATACCTGAGTCACCTTGGGAGTCGGCGGCTAGTGTCTGAACACAAAGAATAGCAATAAATGCAGCACAGACCGTTATTTGGTTCATGGTTCTGTGAATAAAAAGATAATAAAAGTACAGGTTAATTGAATTCAAAAACAAATTCAAAAGTTGCTGAAAAAACAATAATGATTATGAGTATATAACAATATGGTAACGTGTCTTATTATTCTCGATCTAATATTTGACAGAATTGTTCACCATGTCTGAATGATTGTGACTACTCAAACTATTTATTTTTTATTTTTGAGAGAACGATTGGGTAGGCGTGGAGGAATCAGGGTATGGTTGAGGTTTATAACGTGTTCGTACATAACATTCAAGTTTGTGTATCTCGCCTTGTATGAAATGGATACCACGACCTCTCATAGCGTTGCTCGCCTCATGTAATGGTTTAAAAATGTGAGAAACGACGCGATAACATGACACAGTAATAACAAATAATTGAATAAGTGATTTATTATTGTTACAAAAATACTTGGATATCAGGCCTACTTTTACCTTCAAATGTTCGATGAGTCTGACACGCTCATTATAAGTGTACAAAATAAAAGATCTCTGATATTACAATATACTTTGTCGTTAAGTTGACGATTTTTTCGAAATGTTCTTAGATGAAGTTTTTAATTTTGAAAAAGTGGGTTATTTAGTCACAGTGCCGATGTTCGTGTGGTTGTGTTTATTATTGTACCCCACTGTTCACGCGTCGTGTGGAAACACTATGTGCGTAAATGTGATATACCATTCCCACTTGATTTGATCTAATTGAAACGTTTAATTTTCTCACGATGGAATGAGGGCTAACGCATTCACTTACCGACATGAATTCAAAGTAAGAGCACCATGTGGTCTTGCCACAAATTGTACACCTGGTAACGTGAACGTAATACACAAGAACTAATTACTAATTTAAATACAAATAAATCAGCAATGTCTTCTGGGTAGAAACGAATGATACCATTCATACAACAACACAAGGTATTAAATTGATGTGTTGTGCTTCTAATCCAAGTTCGTAATGAAATTACAAGTAATTGGTAATATATCTTGTTATAAAGTATGTATGTGTTTATAACCATTGTAAATGCGTTAATTACGCTCAGGGACACGGTCGACAAATAAACGCCTATACGAGTACCAGCTGGGAGAATAATCCGCTAATTAGACGAATGAGGCAGCGGAGCTACCGCCATGTGATTAGTGCGAGCACGCGAACAACGTATGTTCTAATGGTCAGTTCATAACTGGTGCGTTTAAAAAATCAAAGAACATACATTGACGTGTTGAATATTAATTATCGCATATGGTAGGTTTATACAACACGTAGGTATGTTGTTAAGTGTACAATCTGAGCCGCGCCGCGTGTATTATGGGTAATTTCATCTGAATACCAATAACTATATTCTTAAAAATTCCTAATTTCAACATACTGTTTGTTTTATTTGCATGAATCGAGCCTAATTCTGGTACTAAAAGTCTTATATAAACTGCCCAACCGCAACATATACTAGGCAAAAAAAACTGTGCCGCCGCGGCTGCCATAAGCACATTGGTCGATAGCGTGAAGTGAAAATATCAAATGACCATAACAAGTGGAAGAGCTACTAAAAAACAAAAACAAAAAAATAACAAAAAAAACAAAAAACAAACAAAAAAAACAGCACACACAAAATATTAAAAAGAACACGCATATACATATGCAATATATTTAATTTAAGTGTCACTTAAGAACGCACAAATTCATCAATTCATCGACAAGATGTTCAGAGATAATACAAAGAGCATTCATTATCAATCCAGCTGGTATAATGTTTCTGCGCTCTTCACTACAACCAGAGATTACATCACATTTATGGTATCAGTGTTCGGAAACATTATCTGCCACTGGAATTAGTTCCCTAATATCTGGGTCTTGTACATCGTGTTTAAATATGGCTTGCAGAGCTCGTCACACCCTATTTCCGTCCTGACTTAAGTTACAATATACAACAATTGATAAATATTTCTATTGAGTTTGCTTTTAAAATGATGGTCAACATATATATCGCAATATATAAAAATACAATACATTCAACCAGCATTGTAAGTGTCTAAAAATCTACTCTAGCTAAAAGATGTACATAAGAAATATGCACAATATTACTAATTAACTTTGTTATAATTGTTGTTGAGCGCATCAGAATCAACATGTAAGTATATCTCTCAATGACAATTGATCAAATTAATATCCTTACCCTATATAAATCACTTAGATGAGACCACGTTTAAAGTTGCACCCTCTCGCATGTGATCAACTGTCGACTGAATGGTGAAATATACTAACTGCTTGATAACGATACATGATTCTCATGAATATGTAATAACTTATCCTCATTATAACGACACCAACGCAATATTCAAATCGTTGGAAATAGGCGGTCTGACAAGTCATGATTTGTTTATTTCAGCTGGTTAACGTTGGCGGATTGGGGATAGTAATTATAACGTTTTTTAACTTTAGTGAAATTACAGTTCGTATGTATTGTCTGTACAGAAATAGATCTGAAGTTAACACGTAAAAATTGTATTATTAATCTAACATTGACATGGCAGTCTGATCACCTGTAGGTCCAAACTCTTGGTTTTACTGTGGGCATTATAAAGGAAATGCAACACAGTGTGTGTATTGGTCAGGCAATAAGGACGATTATATGTTAGCCTAGAAGAAACGAACACTAATTGTGTACGCTTGACTACTAACAATCTCACTTAAATGTGTACTATGTGTTAGCGTGCTTATGGGAACGCATTGAATTTAGATAGCTAACGTTCTAGTTTAGAATTCGTATCATCTCTGTTTCACAATAGTTAACGCACATGCAAATATTTAATTCTGCAAATACGTCGATGCTAGTGTATTTACGTATAGGGTTTCTAATGAAAAGAGCATCATGCTTTTCAGGAACGGAACGGTGGTGATCAAACATAATTTAGCTAAGAACCCACCTGATGCTTCAATTAAAAACTCCAGTGACTTTACATATGAACCGTATTGCACACTGTCATCTGTTTCAAATCAGAAATCGGCGTGCCAGTCAATACTTATTTATTTATCTCATCTTCTATTTAAAGTATTGAAAAATGAATTCAATTGTAATGCATTATGTGTTTTATTTTGACATAGCTACTCATATCAGATATGTTTAACTTAAGAGATATTATTGGGGCCTTGCTTATTCATTTATTCGGTATATGAGTTTTTTTAGCCGATGGGCATATTAATGTACATCTACTACCCCGAGGATCCGCGATATGCTTGATCAATGCTGACTCTGAACGGCAATTAGAACTGAAGTAAAATACAGTAATGGCTACGTGTAGTTTGTCTTTTTATGAGGGTTGGACGCTTTTGAATGTCACCCAACGGAATCAAGTGCATTATGTACGAAGGAAACTCACTCGCTGAAAATAACATTTAAGAATGAATCGATGGATACGAGAGAACACGAATACAAATTTTACAGCGATGAGCAAAGTATTTTTCAAGTGACATTCAATACTATGGTTCCCTAAAGTTTAAATAATGTTGCGATTTACATAATAGAAATGTCATACTTTTCATCTCTAATTAAAAATAGTAAAGCCAGGAGCATCCGTAAAATATATTCCTTCAAAATGTTAGTGGCATGTATTCCTTTCTTTTCTTTATTAATGACCTAATTTGGAGTACAATTATCTCCTTGAAAAAGCTTATAATCCAGGATCACGTTACTGTCGCGACGGTTAATTCAGTTATTTTGACAAAAAAAAGAGCAGGAGATATTTACTTAATTCCAGGGGATTACCATCCATCCATTGCATTGCGTATAATTGAAAGCCGACATCCATGTTTTCTTAAAGTATATTTGCCGATAAACGTAAAATCATTACTCTCTAGTTAGGGTCGTGACTTAGAATGAAGATTATTCATTGTAATGTTTGCAGACATATCTATATAATATACTGATTATATAAATTGTATATTAATGACAAGTCAAAAATTTAATAAACATATCATAACATCTATAAACAAACCTAATTTGAAAAATCATTTTCCTGAACATTGATAGTCAAATAACAAAAACATATACTCTTGTTGGAAATATATCTCGACAAATAGTGAAATGCGTGAAAGAATACGTCGGAAACAAAGGAGAAAAGGCAATCACGGCATTTCCTGATCCATTATCTCAACCGGAACGGAAAATTTCAATTCAGAAACGTCTGCCTCTGGGCGGTTGTTGTGCTTCCCGGGGATATTCTACGTGAGTCGCATGGGATAATGACAACACCTGTTCGTTAAATATGTATTGAATTTAGCAAAACAAAATAGCGAGAGAGACTCATTGATATTAGTCAGGTGACAGTCTAGTTGCGTTAAGCTTCGAACAAATGAATGTTCCTGTACGTGTTACACACTGTAATGCACTACATGGAGCGACAGTTGTTGATCGCCACTTGATAATGTATATGCCTAATCGATTACCTTAGCAACAAACCAATGCGAATAAATTAGTGTTAAATTGGCTTGGCTCTGTCTGTGGAAACCTTAATTAGTTTCAGACATGTTTTTTTGTCGCTGATGTAGTTGTAAATGTTGATATGACCAACCTCTGAATATCTAATGCAATACCGTAGAATTGGTGCATGTAGTACATTAGTGGTAATCGCACATAATGGCGTTACTGAGTGTTTTACAGAAAATATAGGCCTCTATGTTTGATGATATATATTATCAAACATCTCACGTGCTTTGTCAATATATGTATCTTCATTCACGCTTTTAAATATCGATTGCAGTCTGAAACAATAATATTATAACGATCCCATTTTCGGCAAATTGTGAACTGAAAATTACTGAATCGTCATACCACTTTGCGAACACTATTTCACAACTAAAATGGGCTGGAATTTAGTATTTTCTTAATTGGCATACTATTTGCAATAATTTGCGCAAGAACCTTGTTGTTACTACTACAATCTGCGTGGTTCATTGTACACATTGGTACTGACAATCCGGGAGATCGATATATACATATATTTTCAAAGAACTGGTCAATTAATATATATGGACAGCTCTTAATTACTTTGTGTAATTAGATGAATACAATTAATTGTCATCGACAGCTACATTATATATACATTCCGGTAATGTCAAATTCTGGAATTCTATGGTGACATGACAAATGGAGAGTTATTGATTGACTGATCGGTTGATTTCCTAAAGTCAATTTAAAAAGTTTCGTCACAGTAGCGGTTTAGTCGATTTGAAAATGCATTTAGTGTAGTCTATTTCTGTCTAATATGCCTTCCATAAAAACATTGCCGATCAAACAGTCAGCACAAAACACATACATACACACACTTTGTTGGCATAAGTTGTGTATAATACACTATTATAACGTATCTGCAAAGACGTATGATATGCCTCAAATTCGTACTTACGCGAAATATCAGTGGATCACTGCATTGAATCAATCGATTCGCGCCATAAACGTTACGGGTCAATTAAAAAACTCGCATTTTGTTTAAATAGTTAACATCGATTAATGTGACCTCGACATATTTAATAAACTGACTCAATAAAACAAGATGTCACTAATGATTGTGTGTACATACCTTCTATTTAATTTATATTTGCTTCATATAAAATTAAACCCGTTACTTATGTAACGCTATCTTGGTAACTGCTTTCTGCGATACACGCTTTGTAGTCTTTGCCGCTAAGCGTGACACGTTATCTGATGCTTAAATCATGCATGTGTTTTTGTATGTCACATGAAATATTTAAAATCATCACTTTTACTTCTTTCATTTTGACAGTGATTTTTGTTCTGATTGAGTTTGTTGCACTAATGAGAGCCAGCTGGCTACCCAATTATGGTGTGTTCAACTTTCCCTTGTATCGTTATATTATTACAGGTCTTTTCCTGAATGAAGTTGATTTTTATTTATTTTTATTGATCACCGTCGGACATTAAATTACTACCATGTAGACATGTAATTATGGACAATAACCAATGACAACGTGTTTTTTCCAGTTTTTTTGACAGAAGAAAATTTTTTTCTTCAAAAGATACAAATTTATTATTACATATATTGTTAATATTGTGAATATATTTCCGATAATTTGCCACTAAATGTTTAACGTAAACGTGGATGTGTTTTTTTTTTCAAAATATTTAGCCAACAAATTTAAGAATTGATACATAGAATTGTTCTTGCTCGTAAAATGTTAATTATTGAAGTCAATATGCATGTATATAGCAATGGTTAGGAATTTGTCATTGTTTTTTTTTATAAAACAAACGGAAAAATTTAATTATAGGGGTTTACAAATCGCGACCTCTATGCTGTTTGACATGGAACGAAACTTGAATAACTCTGGTTGACAATGACATTATCCTGCCGTAAACATGTGTTCGAGATGAGAAGCGGCAGTCAGCTGGAAATCTCAAGATATTTGTTCAACAAATGACTAACTCAGCAGATTGACGCCGCGATGTCCTAACGGTGCAAGTCTCTATATTGTTGGACGGTGTTAAGCCATTCACAACTTGCTACCCTTGTCCATTCAATACACCTGAGGCGATGACAAATCTCATATCAAATCCAGATTATCTTATCAAACTGAGTGATTAGAGGTCTCTCTAGAGCGCGTTTTAGGATTCGATAGAAAGGTCCGTACATTACTGATTACAGTCGTGCTTGAATGAAACATACCACCACATCCACAGCGAGTGGCTAATCATGAATAATGTAATATACAGGAGGGAACGCAACGCAGTGGGAATTGGTAATGATACGGAGTGGCCCAAGGGCTGACAAGTACCTGTCAGTCACAGCGTGCTGTCCCACTCGACGCATCATAGATGCTCCATTATGTAGATAACCGCCTTGCAGCTAAGTGAGGGAAAGACGGTGAAAGATATTATTTTTATATTTGTAATCATCGTGAAAATGAAGAAGTATTTAAAAAAAACAGAACATATCGACATATTACGAAGACAACTAAATTCATCTGATATATTTAAATAGTTGTAGGGGAGGGATAGTTTATAACAGTCGTTTATAGCAAAGGCATTCCCGATACGGCGACAGGTTCATTATGTTCAATATACGAAACGATCCGGTTACAGGAAATGTTAGTAAAACTCTAAGTGATTTTTGGCGCTATCTAATCGGTATGTACTGAGCATCTGTACGTAATGTGGAACACGTTTCGCTTGAACCATTTAACGAAGGTGATATACGACAACAACCACTTCAAATAACTGTCTTTAACGGTAAATTGATTGCTCTATAAATTGGCGAGAAAGTGAGCCGCCAATAAGTTTTCATCATTCCATCTCATTTTAACAACTTAACTGATAGACTCTAAGCGATGTGTGTTGATGGAAAAATCAATTGAAGCATTTTACAGGTTTCCATTTAGTATTAGTATACTGCTGGATCTATGCGCAACCCATACACCTATAAATTACTACTTTTTACATTGTACGTAGAACAGTGAAGAGGAAGTAGATTAAAAAAGTATTTTTGAAATTGAAAATCAGGTGAAAGATCAGCGAAATAGAAAAGCCTGAGTTGGCATTTCGTCATGCCTACATTGTCGTGAAAGGTAATCCTAATTCGGTACGTGCCGAATCCTAAAATTGTTTTAACGAACCGTCTCATAGTACTCATGATTGATTTGTGGTATGACATCATCATATATCATTATGTACAAAGTTCAAACGATATAGAATGTGAAATAGGAGTATACGTATACATTGCCATCAATCTTTTTATGCATTTCAAATTTAAACATAGTTTTTGTAGACATCACGGTTTGTTAAATATGGTTTCCCCGGCTAGTTATGCCCAGAGAGATGATAATAAAACCACGCAAGGTCATCGTGAAGCTTTAATAAAAATACGATATTTATGACATATGAGATATAATCAATTTCTTCTTAGTAAAAAATTCAAATATCTTCTGTATGAATTATACTTGTAAAAATGTTAACATTTAACAAGCTAGATGTCGTAGTTTTCGTTTTGCTAAATATAAATAGTAATAATAAGGAAGTGATGAGATTATATTATGAATTTTCCCTTCGCTGAACCGTATATAATGCACTACATATAAAGGTAACTCAGTGAATTCGTTGTTAAACTTCATTTTGCGAGAAAGAGAGAAGAAACAATCGCCGATTGTGTGATAATGGTCGATTATTTGACGTGTATTCTATATAATTTTGAAGTCTAGTAAATTGGAGAAGTATTATCAACCTTGTAATAAAAAAACACGGACTGTTCGACAATTTAAATACTTCACGAATTACTATCACGTTGGTCTCCCGTGGTTTCTCTACACCTTCAAATCGAATTTGAAAATATACTATTCACTATATTCCGATGCAAGACAGTGCGCTTGGTCGAACACAGGGAAGATCTTTTGATCTTCAGCTTGATTGGAGAGGGAATATTCAGTAGCCTTACGCTATGTGTTCATAATCCGCTCAAGTTGAAGCGTTTGATATCTTCACACGTGATGTGAAATTTCTATCAAAAGGTGGTAGTTGGTCCGTAAATCAATCGACTTGCATCGTTACTCCGACAATGGGTATCCGATACTTAATGCGAATAGTGTGTAGGAACTTTTCAAGTCGTTGCACGAGCAAAGATGTGCAGCTGAAGATGCGCATAATGGTATAATATACATAATTGACGTTTTTGTCAAAATAACTGATTTCTCCTACAATTTCCTTTCGATTGTTCTTTGCTACTGATGAAAGGTCACGTATAACTGTCAATGACACACACAGTCAGTCAGTACAATGGTGAATCGGCTTTACTATCAGTCATAATGAATTCAATTAAATTTAACTATTAACAACCCATTAGTGAAATTATAACGTACACACTAGATTACACTGACAATATTAATAACTCTGTTTATTTAAATATTATACTAAACCACATACATGTATATATTTAATAGAATAACCACGGTGGGCGTAACCGACATTTTTGACAAAACTGACGGATACTCTTCCATTTGAATGTTGAGGATGAGCTCCTAAGCACGCTATTAAAGTGAGATTAACGATGGGAAAACTAGATTAAAAAAAATACTTGACATATACTAGACAGCTAAGGTTTGTAACTATCAAGGTGTCCATGCATACCGCAGAATCAGTAAATAATTAGGGGAACAAACGCAAATCTCGAAACGTTAAAAAATACCACGGCCTTAGTAATCATCATTTTTAGCTGTGACACTATATTAAACGAGAGTAGGAACGGTCATCAAATAATCAGGGTACATCTGCCACTCGCGAAAAAATAAATATAATCTACTAGAGACGTTAACTAATAAAACACAAACCTAACATACACATCTTTATATTCATCCGCGTTACAATTTCGAATAAAGTATATAAAGATTAGGCAATATATTTACTTGGACGATATATTAGGTTGAGTTCATCGAAATCATAATCATCTTATACTCTAAAATCGACAAATAACTGTAAAATCCTAATCACAGTTTCAGCATCCTCATTGCACATTCTAAATCAATCAATTCAGAGACTAAAAGTAAAACGTAAAAAACTTACCCCGTGTTGGTTGCGTATGACACTGAGCTGAAATGCCTTGGAATGATTTACAGAATCACTGTAACCAGTTTCTGTCTCTTCAGCTCTCTATCTTCTGACAGAGGACACGTCTGCTGCTTGCTAGTGATTCTCTCACTTATAAGGAAGAACAAAACAATAGCCGCAGAAGGCGTAGTCTCTGAAGCTGTCAATGCTCTCATTGATAACAAAAGCTCTGTCCCAGATGAGCTCATTAAATATCCGGAGGTAAAGCTATTTGCTTACGTACTATGGTTTCTTACTGTGTTTTCCCTCCGGTGCTATGAAGCAAGACCGCGGCCATACGAAAATTCGGGCGATTTTTTTCTACTTGTCCGCGAATGATAAACAACACATATGTTCGCAGAGAGGCTGTAGACTATTTTTCTAGAAATATGGAGCGTTCAACGTACACAATCCTAACCTAACCCATTATTCTGTCTAATATAACATCAACATAGAAAACTTAAACCCGACCGTTCTTATATTGCAGTTTAAGTGATGCGAATTATTTTGTTGAAAAAAATACAAGGTTTGTCAAATATCAAATGAGAGATAGTGAATGAGACAGTATGTCACGTGACCACATGCGCTCATCTTACGTTCATTCATTGAATTCTTGTTTTCTAGCCAAATTATAGATCTCAAAAATGTAGTCCTTGAACGATACAATTGTTTGGTGACTGTTTTCCAGCTGTTCCTATGACGTATCAATCTAAAACTAAAAATGCGTATATCCGACGAGGTCGATGTCACCTGATCTCATGCCACTTGTTTGAAATTGAAAATAACCTGTACAGAACATACTATATTGTAATATGCGAAAAATAATAGCAAACAAACAATTGACAGTCGTTTTTTGAACGAATGTCTAAGAACGTACACGCTAACATCGGATCACATGAAAATATGCACTCCAAAATAAGAAGAACGACTTTTCCCGGGCCGTAAGGGTACTTGCGATGTTTTGTTTGCTTTGTGATTTAAACGTTCAGAACGATAAAACACTTAGAAATCTGCAAACAAACATCAATAGAGTGTGTTTCGATAAAGGTATGCGCCATTGTACAGCCCATACATAGAAACAGATTGCAGATAATGGACGACAAGTTTTAAGGTTGTTTTATCAACATATAGTTCCTAATTCGATGTTTTCACAGACATATATTTGGGAGTAGGTAATTTATTTGTTCTTACATCCATTTGGGTTTTATTTATTACCTTCATTTCAACCGGACATTTCTAAAAAAATCAATCTCGTTTGTTAATACTGTCGGTGGCACCTGACTTGTACTTCCAACACCAATGTCAAGTGAATCGTGGCAACTTATTTGTGCGGTGAACTCAAATGCTACCCGATGACGCCTGTTAATTTCATTTAAAGTTACTGACATTAATACTCCATGTAATTGCTTGATCTGCACTACTACCGTTAGTTTAGTTAACCGTAATCATTTTTAACGCACTGAGAACGAGCCATTACCGTTAGTTTAATTAACCGTGATTAATTTCAACGCACTGCGAACGAGCCTATTACCGATAGTTGAGTTAACCATAATCGTTTTTAACGTACTGCGAACGAGCCTTTTACCGTTAGTTTAGGTAACCGCGATTGTTTTTAACGCACTGCAAACGAGCCTATAACTGTTAGTTTAATTAACCGTGATCGTTTTTAACGTACTGCGAACGAGCCTATTACCGTTGCTTTAGTTAACCGTGATCGTTTTTAACCTACTGCGAACGAGCCTACGAGTCGCTAATGTAATCAGACAGAATACGACGAGCACCAGAAAACTACAAAAGATATATTTACATTATCGACATAACTCACTGAAGACAATTCCGCTACTGATGGCAACAGTGTCTAGAATGAAACCAGAACGATGAATTAACTGACAACCAGACAAATGAATATGGTTTGTTCAACTAATATACCAGTTTGAAAGTGAGATGCATTCTACGAACATTCAATCGTATTTATCCGAAAATGAGCTCTGTGACCAATATTCACCACCGCAGAGTTTCTGGTCGTGTTCCCTGGTTGCTATGTTACTGAGCGAACTTACGACAGAAAGGGGGAGAGCGATTTTACAAACCCGGTCGCCTGGGAACCCGTTCGCCTCATTATATTAAGTTGAACATACATGCAGTTATGTTGTCTCAATATATTATTGTATCCTTCAAGTATACGTACGGATACCAAGAAAATGTTTTATTTTATCCAAATGTATTGTATTCTGTCTGATTATATATATATATGAATGAAAAACATATGTTTCATTTTTTACGGTAATTTCGCAAACTTTCAAAGGTAACATGGAAATGTATAATATAGAATGGCCATTATCTAGACAAAACTGAAGCAGGAATAGTAAGTATTTTCCACTAATGCTGCTTATTTCTGCTGATCGGAAGTGAATCTACGTCGACTCGATTTCCTTTTATGGGCATGATAGCCAAGCAACCAAAAAATCTGAAACTCGTCTATTAGTCAATAATTTAATTAAGCGTTTACATAATAGAGACAAAAACACGCATTGTCTAACAGTTGCTCAGTTGTAATCATTATACTTTATAATTAATGTTTATCCTTTATTATTATTTTCAATTACCTATTGACGTTGTATCTTTCATTCTCAAGTGAACTAATACCTACGTCATTCGTCGTCTACTGATTACATTATATCAGTTTTAATGAAATGATGTCATAACATTACATGATATAATATACAAACCAGGCGCCAAAGAAACAGATGGGATACATCATATTAATCGTTGTACACAGCACCCTGAAGTCCGAAGGATTGGATAAAGAAGTCAATAAACTGACCGACTTGTTTTAACTGTTAATTATAATTGTAACTGAAACCAACATGATTGATGACAACCAAAAATAAACAAAATAGTTTTACTCGGCATCCAAGCTCAACATTTATCGCTTCATTTCAACTGCTGCTCACGTATTGTGGGGTTCTTCATCGTACTCTGTTGCCTCAGCACATGGGAAATGATACATGTTTCGTTAATAAGGATCAAATGCATCAATGTTCCTGTGGGAACCATCGGCTGATACTCAATGGTAAAAATACCTGCACACGCAAACATATGATACTTAAATGGAGAACAAACTAGAAAACAATTGCTCAAAGATAAAGTTAATTAGCCGGGTAAGCCACAGAAGCTGTCATTAAATCCGATTACATAACCACGTCCGAAATACTTTGAACAAATGAAGGCTCACGAGTTACATATCTCATAGCGTCAATATGCACGCGCCTACGCCGCTATTAACGCCGCTATTTTCTGAACCACTCTGTTCATTCGCGTGGTCGTACTACTAGTGTGGTTGGGCCATAGTGATACGTCACAACATTAAGAAGTAAAGATACCAACCTTTTCGAAATAAATTTGATTGTCGAAGAAAGAAAACAAACTTTTGTTTAAATTGACGGCCTACTTCGGATATTATTTATCACAAAAAAATATACATTAACATTAGTCAGTAGTAAAGTTACAATGTAGGTAAGTATGAGTGTTAGGA